TTTTAGATTGAGGAAAATAAAAATGGTGGATCTACGAAAGGAGTGTCTATGTTCTAGAATTTGACTGAGTGTGAAGATGTGGTCAATACAGCCTCGACCAGGTCTGAAACCGGCCCGGTTCTCACGCGTACACTGTTCACGTGCGGCAGACAATCGACGGAGTATGATACCGGCGAGAAGTTTAGAGGTAATATTGATTAAACTAATTCCTCTGTGGTTTTCACAGGAGGATCTGTCACCTTTCTTGTAAATCGGTATGATCACCGATTCACACTATGCAGTTGGAACCTGTTCCTTTTCCCACACTGAGCCCGGGAATTTTGTTAACTCCAAAACCAAGGCTGGAGTTAACAAAACTCCTGGGCTCGAAGTTCACATCAGGTCCAAGGGGAGGAGGTTCACTTGAAAGGGACAGAAAGTAACTTGTGGTAACTCCGCTTGGGATCTTCAAATTCACGGAGAGCCAAGCACACCATATTAACGTGAATGGTCGCAGCCAGCATTACTGAGTTCACAAGTAACAACGTCAGTTTTGACTTGTGGTCTAAACGATTAAAAGATATTTTCAGAGTTGAATCCACTAACGAGGACCATGGTTGGAAGGTTCGTTTGTAACTTCGCAAGCTAGGAAGGGAAGCATATCAGAGATGGACTAAGACTATCTTGCAAAATATCTTCTCGGCCTCAGTTTTAAAGAAACCAACCAATAGTATTGGCGCCAGTGCTCGAAGCTTGTTTTACTCGAGATGTTAAAAAATTGCCGAAATCTGTCTTTCGAGGACTCGTTAGACCGTGACTGCCTACCTTGTTGGCGTTGACATAGGTCTTAGTTACAGCTGAAACAGCGTTGCTATGTCTCTTGTACTTTCTCCTTCCCTCCCTCTCTCTCCCTATATATATATATCCATATATCAATGACGCAAAGGTAGTTTAGTGGTTAAACATTACGCAACGGTGGTACGTGAGGAACGCGAGATTGATGAACAGACGAAACGCAAATCACAGCACGAAGCACATGCAAACCGAATTCATTCACACATATCATCGTTGGACGAGTCCTAGTCCAGATCGAAACGTCGCAATAAATACTATCAGTCAGTGCTTGCCTTTTGCTTCTCAATATATAAATATATATATATATGTGTGTGTGTGTGTGTGTGTGTGTGTGGTTTTCATATCCTCACGCGAGGTCTTCGTTTGACCACCCTTGAACACTGCAGAACTTCGATCCATAAAAGCCATGTTGCAGTGTTCAACCACACCTTCATTTTATTCGACCAATTTAGCGCGTGATGCGAAACGATCGCCACGAAACAACAAATGAGAAACTGGAATAAGAACCGCTACCAAGGTGTTTCGAGTAAAACTGATTTATAAAAGGGCGAAAGATAGAAAAAATAACCAAAATGCTTTTGGATGATCAGATGACGGTGAATGGCGGTTACAAAAAGAAGCTTGAGATTACCAACATGCCGAAAATACAATTGATGAAGGTAAAATCCTTTTTCGGAACACTACTCGACGTAGTCCAAATTCTCCGGGATATTGAACTGTTTTCGAAAGGTGGATTCATCTATGGGAAATTTCTTGGTAAGCCACGATTGGATGACGAACACATTATCTGGAAAGAAACGAGTTCCCATTATGCTTATAAAATTAAGTGGATTCAATTTGCAAAAACGAATGAGCAATCCTACAAAGACCAATACTATTGACATGATGTCGAGATTTTAGAAATCTAACCCAGTGTATGTGACACCTTAAATAGAATTTCAGCAGTGTTTATACAATCGACTTCTGTTTTGTTCCGTTACCATCAAACTGTCCAGCCAACAGCATTCAATATAGGGAGGTTTGGGAACAATCTACAGAGATCAACTCTATCGAGCCCTTACACTGAATAGTGGACGGATCAACTGGAGATTTCGCTGTACAATGATGAACTGGAAACTTCTCTCCGTCATGCACACCAGTAAGGAAAGTGTTAGACGAGCATGCACAATACGTGTTTGAGTCAATGATGGTGCTGCCAGCGATTACTTCCGTTGGATAGTGGATCAATCCATCTAATATCTGCGATCGGATCTCTTTATTGTATACGTCAGCTAGTCGCTCAACATAGATAATGGTTCAGAGAAGAGAATGACAGATGAAAGTGAAGACAAGCACTGTGAAATAGTTGCACTTGAGATAAGCAAGAGTAGAGACATGAAAACACTCACAAATAAATTACAGATTATAATAAATGAATAACGCACCTGTCCATCGATTGGCAGCATCCAAAGCTACCTGCTGCTCTGTTTCGAGTGATTTCAAACGGCTAGGATCCAATCTCCGCAAACTTTTTAGTTCGGCGTTAAGTTGACTGAGTAAAGCCCGCTTAACTTCCAGCTCATCCAACACCTTACGGCGCTCGTCCTAAGAACAAATGGTTGTTTTGCCTCTTGATACGTACCGTGTCTTCTCGCACTGAACTAGCCTCATTAAGAGCTGCCTTCAATTTTACACTTTGTGCCTTAGTGAAAGCAAGATTCTCTTTTAGTTTCTGGATAGTACCTTTATGCTGTGAATACCACAGGTGAAGAAAAAATCTTCAGCGTGATTACCTTCTGTGTCGCTTTGTTTGGAAATGCCCAGAAGTAGACGCAAGTTCCAATTTTTTCCGTATCTACCATTCCGTCATGAACAAGACTCATGAGAACATCTTTCACAGACATGGCGTTGATTCCTTTTTCTTTGTGGCAAAGTCTTTCGACTTCTTTCAGCTGAAAGAAATCCTTCTGTTTAAAGTTCAACTTGGAACATTCAAGCATGAACCTTTTCGTAGAAGAACTCTATCATCTTCTGACGCTTCTCTTCAAGGCTGAGACCTTTTTTCTTCGACTGAAATGAAATTCAAAGATCAGCATTATCAAGTCAAACTATTCATATGGAAAGAATGTTGAACACCAGTGACTATCTTTTTCATTTTTACTTCGTTATACGGAAGTGGCATAAAGTGCTAGGATCCTGGATTCGAGTCTCCGACACGCAGCAGACATCCATTCCCAAAGAGTCCATTGTGCGCGCTAGACATGCTTGTTGACCTACCTGCATCAGAGTCCTCACGTTGAAGGCTCCCAGATTCAGTGGCTGACGAGGCTTCAGAATATGCAATCTATTTTGTTGTAAACTACTTACCCAGCGACTTGGTAACGAACTTTGACGAGTGACGAACAAGTTGTCTGAGGGAATGTTACGGGTTGGAACTTGATTTGGCCGCCTTCCTGGGGGGCGACTCTCCGGAGCCCCCATCTGAAAAGTTGATTCCTTATTGCGGGTGGATACGGAAGTTGGGAGGAAGGGAAGAGCTTTGGAGAACCTGGTAGGCTTCGGGAGAGTTGGAATGGCAGTCTTGATTTTCTGGGCAATGGCAATAAGCAGCTGAGGCGATTTTCCCCCGTGCCTATGTTACTTTCTAGGACGAGGGGATCATCAAGTAGGCTTTTTTGCTCCGGGGGGCCGGGTTCGCATTTCTGGTTTGTGGTCCCTGGGACCATACGCACCGACGTCTTTTCTCTGAGGTTGATCTCTGTGTGCGCAGAACATACACCTGTGTTCACCGAGCTGCATGCTACTGGCTTGAGTCAGACTGTCTCGTTTAGGGGGAAAGCTTAGGGCGAGATGGGCTGTGAGTGAGTTACATCAGTTTCCAGACGTACGACCAGGACGAAGGCGCTTCGGAGAAGCTTAGGGTCTTTCGATGGGTAGCAGGGGGCCTTCCGCTTTGCAACAGGGAGCCTAAGGTGCAGTGGTTTATCAACTGATACCCCTCTGAGTCCCTCGCAGGATCGTTTTAGGGATGGAGCAAACGTGATGAGCTCACGGGCTGTAGAAAGGGAGTCCATATCTACTACGAGGCCGTGGTGAGGTTTTACTTGCTTTGGAATAAGCCAAGAGCATTTACCGGGCTTGAAACCGTCGTATCCAGATGTTTAAAGATTAACTTCAACATTTCCTGGGGGATTAAGAAGCTCGGGAAATGTCTCCAGAAGCTAACTCTTTTCGGAGCAGTTGCGTCTGCTTGTAACATTCTTGTTGTATCAAGTATTTGCTGCTCGGAGACTTTGATTGCTTGGTCCGCCGCCGAGTGAACTGGGGAGTTCAGCAAGAGGGTGTTGAGTTTGGCAACCTGGTCACCGAGAGCATTTACTTCAGCCTTTAGTTCCTCTAGTTCTAAGGCCTGTTCCTGTATGATACCTAACATTTCGGCTTGCGAAAAAGTTTTATCCATGTCTATCACGGGCTCATCCAACCTCATGGTCAGGTCAGGTCAGGTTCTAGGACGTGCGGCTGATGCCAGGTACCGTCCAGTTTCTTGCACTGATGAGCTACGATCGTCTTCTCACAGTGCCTCGACAGCGTTTCGTATGTGTTCGTTATCGCTCTTCGTCTGCGAAAGAGTAAGGTTGGCGGCCCGTATACTCTGACAGGAGGACCAATCATTCGGAGTTGTGCAGGTTCACGCCGCTTATCGCACACTCCCCCTCGTGGTCGATCCCTCCAGCAGGGTTTCGGGCAGGTTAAAAGAGTAGGGGGTGCTCCAGTATAAAATCAAAAGTGGAGCACTTTTAAAATGTGAGGATTTAAGAGTGAATGGAGTAACGCAGGACGAAACGGAACAAAAAATGAGATAGGTAGACTGAGGGCACCCTTAAAGATGGAGGTCCTCCGGGAACACTTCCTCCCAACACTGGTCGAGTCGGGGTTTGAAGATGGCAACTGATTCTACCGCTACCACATCCGTAGGTAGCTTGTTTCAGGTGTTAATCACCCTGCATGAGAAAAATTGTGCTCTGGTGGTCGTACTTATTCTGGGTTTGTCAAGCTTCCATGCGTGCCCTCTCAGTGCTGGGTTCCCACTAAGGCTAAAGAGAGGTTTATCCGTTGTCGTGAATCCCTTTATTAGTTTAAAAGTCTCCACTAGATCCCCTCTCGTCCTCCTTCTTTTGAGGGAGAACAGCTTCAGCCTCCGAAGCCTCTCGCCGTAGCTCAGGTTCCCAAAACCCACGACGAGATTCGTAAAACGGCGCTGTATGCCCTCTAGTACTTGGGTGGCCCGAACCAACGCCGGCACCCATGCCTGGACGCAATACTCCAGGTGCGGTCTCAGAAATGCCTTGTACAAAGGCACTATTACTCTGGCCTCCCTTGAAGCAACTGTGCGCAGCAATTGGTACAGTGCTCGGTTGACCTTGGTGGCCGCAATCCGGCATTTCTCGGATGGCCTGAAGTGCTGGGTAACTAGAACTCCTAGGTCCTTCACTTCTTCTACTTGTGGGGCTAACCTGGGGTTCTCGGGATTCAGGTGGCGGTTCATCGAAATCCATGCATTCCTTAAGTGACAGCACTTATCTGGGTTTAATGGGAGCTCCCATTCAGTCGCCCGATTGTACATCCTATTTAGGTTCTCCTGCATTTCGTTGCCCTCAGGCCTTCCTACTAGCTTTAGATCATCTGCAAAGATGAACGCCGGAGATGCAAGATCGCAAGCCACGTCGTTACGTAGATCAGGAACAGAAGCGGCTCCAGAACTGAACCCTGTGGCACCCCGCTGGAGACGCCTGCTTGCCTAGATCTCTCTTCATCCACCCTAACGTAAAAGGATCGGTTCCTTAAGTAGGCAGCAGTCCATTGTAGGATCCCCTCGTCTATTTTGAGCGCTCTCATCTTAGCTAGGAGGTAACGGTGGATAACTGAGTCAAAGGCTTTTTGGAAGCCCATGTAACACATTTCAATTGTCTCACCCCGATCGATTCTGCCCGCGACTTCATCTAGGAAGGACAAAAGATTTGTGAGACAGGACCTCCTTTTCGTGAATCCACACAGGCACACAGCAAGTAAACCATGTTCTACTACATTGGAGCTCAGCCGATCCCGAAGTACATTCTCCAAGACCTTGAGTGGTAGGGATAGAAGACTTACTGGGCGGTAGTTTGAGGCCTCTTCCTTGGTATCTCCCTTGTGGATAGGGATGACTTTGACCTGTTTCCAGTCTGAAGGTAGCGTTGCTGTAGTGATCGACGGGTTGAAAAGCCAAGCTAATGGTTCAGAAACTGTCCCTGCAATGGGTTTCAATATTGCTGGATGTATACCGTCTGGATCGGCAGCCTTTCCGGTGTTTAGTGCGCCCAGGAATTTTTCTACCTCTAGTCTGGTGATAGGCGGGTTTGTTATCTGTGGTACATCGGCCGGTATTAGAGTGGGGACCTCTTTACCCCTGTCTCCCTGGTAAACCATCTCGAAGGCTGCCCGGAGCGCCTCGGCCTTTTCATTGCTACTTACAGCAAGCCCATCATCCGCAGTCACTAGGTTTTCAACGGCCGTTCTCCTAGCGACCTTTCATTGGACGTAGTTGTAGTAAGCTTTGGGGCACTGCTTAGCTCTATCGGCCAGGCCCATTTCATACTTACGGCGGCAGTCACTCTGGACCCTCAAAGCAACCTAACGGGCCCTAAGGTATTGGAGAAACCTTGAGAGGCTCCTTGAGTTTCTATAGCTGTTCCAGGTTCTGTTTCCTGGATTGTGCTCTAATGGCCCGGCTTTTCCACCATGGTTGGATCCCTTGTCTCCTGATCCTGCACAGCGGTGCAAAAGGCTCGGTGAGGTGCAGTACATTTGCCTAGAAGGCCCCTTATTCCTCTTCTATCTTCTCGTGTTTCCCTTGCCACTCTCGATTTAAGACTGCCTCTACTAGGGCCTGTGGAAGAATCACTGCAGTCTTTGGAGGTGATCACAGAACTCCTCAGAGAGGCCCGCTTCCTTCACAATGCCTTCACATGCCCACTTGATACACTTATTGTCCGCAAATAATTGGAAGGCCTTCTTAGTTAGCCTGTTACACTTCTGGTGAAACCAAGTAAAGCAACCATCGCATCTAATACCCTCATCCACTTCAGCAAAGCAACCTTTCTCGCCACAGGGGTAGGTCGCAGCACCCAACGATGAAGATGGAGCGCATGTTGTCTTGAAGTGATTCACGGGTTCGAGGCTGTTGCCTAAATGTCCCGGGTCCTTGAAAGGTATCTGTTTTCTTTTGGTTGGAATTTCTTCTAGAACAGAGAGTACTGACCCATGCCAGTAGTCGGTGTCAGCGTTAGGAAATCAAAATATGTGAATAGGGATAAAGACAAAATAAAGACTATCAGTGGAAAGAATCAAATGCCTGCCCGAGATTCCTACCGAAAGGACCAGCCCACTAAAGGCAAGGGGAAGTTCAGTTCTCCCAGGACGAATTGTGGCTCTTGCCAATCGCGCGTCCAGTTCTTTGTATTGTCGGCGGTTTCGTTGGCTTTCAGCACTTCGAGTCAATACTAGTTTCTGAAAGGCAGGAAGGAAGGTGTCCTCGTCGGAGGATGCGAGAGATTTTATTAGCCATCGAAAGATTGGACGGTGTAATAAAAATTTGTAAGAGTCAAAACAAAATAATTAGAGATGATTGAATACAAAACTTCAAGAATTCCACAAGAATTACGACGGAATTGATCTCCGAGGCCAATTGTAGAATTGATCTCCCTGACTCTTGCGGTACAGTCAGTCAGTTTGCACAGGACAGGAGATGGCCACGGCCAATCGAGCGTCCAGATTTC